TTCAGGAGGGCCAGTTGTGATATGACAAGGGATAATGTTTTTAAAATAGAGGGAGGTAGATTCAGATTGGATATTAGGAAAAAATTTTTTACCATGAGAGTTGTAGAACACTGGAACAGGTTGCCCAGAGAGGTGGTGGATGCTCCATCCCTGGAGATGTTCAAGGCCAGGTTGGATGAGGCCCTGAGCAACCTGATCTAGTTGGAGATATCCCTGTTCCTTGCAGGGGGGTTGGACTAGATGACCTTTGAAGGTCCCTTCCAGCCCTAACCATTCTATGATTCTATGATTCTTATCAACCAACAGCCCAAGTCCTTCTCCTCAGGGCTGCTCTCAATCCATTCTCTGCCCAGCCTGTACTTGTGCTTGGGATTGCCCTGACCCACGTGCAGGACCTTGCACTTGGCCTTATTCATTTCATGAGGTTTGCACAGGCCCATCTCTCAAGACTCTCAGGGTCCCTCTGGATGGCATCCCTTCCCTCCAGCGTGTTGACCACAGCACACAGCTTGGTGCCATGAGCAAACTTGCTCAGGGTGCACGTGATCCCACTGTCCATGTTGCCAACAAACATGTTAAACAGCGCTGGTCCCTATACTGACCCCTGAGGAATGCCACTCATCACTGGTCTCCACTTGGACATCGAGCCATTGACTGCAGCTCTTTGAGTGTGACCATCCAGCCAATTCCTTATCCACTGAGTGGTCCATCTATCAAATCCACGTCTCTCCAATTTACAGACAAGGCTGTCGTGTGAGACAGTGTCAAATGCTTTGTCCAAGTCCAGGTAGATGATGTTGGTTGCTCTTCCCTTATCCTCCAATACTGTAACCCTGTTGTAGAAGGCCACCAAATTTGTCAGGCATGATTTGCCCTTAGTGAAGCCATGTTGGCTGTCACCAATCACCTCAAGTTTTAACATGTGCCTTAGTGTAATTTGCAGGAGGATCTGCTCCGTGATCTTGCTGGGCACAGAGGTGAGACTGACTGGCCTGTAGTTCCCTGAGTCTTCCTTTTTTCCCTTTTTAAAAACGGGGGCTATGTTTCTCCTTTTCCAGTCGGTGGGAACTTCACTGGACTGCTACGACTTCTCAAATATGATAGGTAGTGGCTTAGTAACTTCATCTGCCAGTTCCCTCAGGACCCACAGATGCATCTCATTAGGCTAGAACACTTGCCAGTGAAGACTAAGACAAAAAAGTCCTTGAGTGCCTCAGCTTCCTCCATGTCACAGGTAACCAAGTCTTCTGTTTCCTTTTGGAGAGGGCCCACATTTTCCATAGTCCTCCTTTTTTCACTGACATACCTATAGAGGTTTTTATTGTTGCCCTTGATGTCCTTGGTCAAATTTAATTCTAGCAGGGCTTTAGCTTTCCTAAACCTGATCCCTGCCTGCTCGGACAATCTGTCTGTATTCCTCTCAGGCTACCTGACCTTGCTTCCACCCTCTGTAGGCTTCCCATTTGTGCTTGAGTTTGCACAGGAGCTCCTCGTTCATCCATGTAGGCCTCCTGGTGCTTTTTCCTGACTTCCTCTTTGTTGGGATGCATCACTCCTGAGCTTGGAGGAGGTGATCCTTGAATATTAAACAGCTTTCTTGGGCCCCTCTTGCCACCATGGCTTTATCCTATGGTACTCTACTAAGCAAATGCCTGCAGAGGCTGAAGTCTACTCTCCTGGAGTCTAAAGTAGTGAGCTTGCTGTGCACCCTCCTTGCCACCCAAAGGCTTTGAACTCCACCATTTCATGATCACTGCAGCCAAGGCTGCCCTTGAGCGTCACATTCCCCACTAGCTCCTTGTTGGTGAGAACAAGGTCCAGCATAGCACCTCTCCTTGTTGATTCCTCTATCACTTGGAGAAGGAAGTTATCATCAGTGTGTTCCAGGGACCTACTGCATTTTCATAGATTTCATAGATTTCTAGGTTGGAAAAGACCTTAGAGATCATGCAGTCCAACTGTCCCTAATCCCCATTAAACCATATCCCTAATTTCTTGTGCCCTGGTGCATTTTCCCTCCAACGTGTATCAGGGCAGTTGAAGTCCCCAGTGAGGACCAGGGCCCGTGAATGCGAGGCTGCTCTTATCTGTCTATAGAAGGCCTCATGCACTTGGTCTTCCTGGTCAGGTGGCCTGTAGCAGACCCCCACTATAGTGTCCCCTGTCCCTGCCCTCTCTTTGACCCTGACCCATAAGCTCTCAGTTGACTCCTCATCCATCCCCGGGTGCAGCTCCATGCATTCCAGCTGGTCATTGACATAGAGAGTGTCACCTGCTCCTTATCTCCCCTGCCTGTCCTTCCTAAAGAGCCTGTATCCTTCCATTCCAACACTCCAGTCATAGGATTCATCCCACCACATCTCTATGATGCTGATAAGATCATAACCCTGCGGGTGCACACACACCTCTAACTTTCCATCCCCGGGTGCAGCTCCATGCATTCCAGCTGGTCATTGACATAGAGAGTGTCACCTGCTCCTTATCTCCCCTGCCTGTCCTTCCTAAAGAGCCTGTATCCTTCCATTCCAACACTCCAGTCATAGGATTCATCCCACCACATCTCTATGATGCTGATAAGATCATAACCCTGCGGGTGCACACACACCTCTAACTCCTCTTGTTTATTTTCCATGCTACATGTGTTTGCATAGAGGCATTTAAGTGCACTCCTGATGAATCTGACTTCCTGGCTGGAGTGTCTGGAATTCTTTTCTGCTGCTCTTCAGATGCTCTCGGCTTGTCTTGGGCAAACCTGATATTATCCCACTCCCCCTTCAAATCTATTTTGAATCCCTTTCAATGAGCCTTGCTAGCTGTTGTGCAGAGTGTCTTGTTCCCCTTTGAGAGAGGTGAATCCCATCTGGCACCAGCAAGCCTGGTGCCGTGTAGGCCATCCACCAGCAAGCCTGGTGCCGTGTAGGCCATCTCGTTATTGAAAAACCCAAAACTCTGGCGATGACACCAGTCACGGAGCTATGTATTAGTAGACTGGGTGCATCTGTTTCTTCCAATGCCACTACCTGTAACTGGAAGGAGAGAGAGGAGGAAAATAACCTGTGCTCCAGGTTCCCTTACCAACTGTCTCAGGGCCCCTGAAGTCTCTTTGGATTGCCCTTGGACCATGTGTTGCCCCCACATGGAAGAGCAGTAATGGGTAATAGTCCAAGGGCTGTACCAGGATTGAAAGTTTCCTAGTGATGTCCTTAACCCGGGTGACAGGGAGGCAGCAGACTTCCCGAAGAGGGTCTGCTGAGCATATTGGACCCTCTGTTCCCCTCAGATGGGAGTTGCCTAGAACTATAACCTGTCTCTTCTTCCTCATGGAGGTGGTTGTGATATGGGGGATAGGCCCTTCTGATCCTGTCAACACCTCTGGTGTAGATGGACCATCATCCCCATCATCCATTGACTGGCCTTCCACATCCAGAGCCCTCATACCAGTTGTACAGAGGCACCTGGGAAGGCGTGGTGGGCAAGGAGGGGCTTCACCTGCCTCCATTCACTCCTTTCCTTTAAGCTACTGCCTTCGGCCTGGTGGGGGGAGGATACGGAATCCCCTTGATCTTGTTTCTTTTTCTGGTGGCTGTTCGTGTTTCATAGACATGCTTGTGTATTCTACATTGCGAACTCTTTAAGGCAAGAGTTGTTAATTTATTTATATTTTGAACAATTCCTAATAAAAGGCCTCAGTTTTCATTTGAGCTTCTAAGAGGCTGTCTTAATGTAGATATAAATTTATAAGTGAAAATACTGTGTGGATCAATTTGCAGAAAAGCTGTTTTCCTCATATCAAGTTGAACTTTTGTTTTTACTAGAAGAACATAGTCACCAAAATATAGCGTTCCTCTTTAGAACCTTGTATAATTCGTTAATTAATAGTTTTCAGGAATTGTGCTTCTTCAGAGCAATCTCTTACTTCATTGTCTGTAACATGGGTCAGCTGGTGTTTGGCCTGACTGACAGCCTCTAGTATGAGCTTATGTTCTACGTAATATACAATTAATGTTTTTGTGCTGAAGCTCTTTTACTGTTTTTAGAAGATATGAGCTCACCTGGCTGCTAGCAGGGTTATAGAAAAATTGGGGAGAAGGACCAGCTGTTATCAGTGAAGATGATCTGTTAACTGGAAAAAGTGTAACGGCCAGTTATTTTGTATTTGATGTGTTTCTAGCATTCTGACTTAGTTCTCTGCTTTTTGTAGGATGTGTTACAGGCTGTTTCATGATGAAATTTTTTTTTTTTTGTAGAAGAGTTACAATGGAGAGGGAAGACAGGACAGGTTATATTCAGAACTTTAGGTTTTAGAAGTATGAAAGGAACTGTAGTCTATTAGACTTATGTTTTACTAGACTTAGTACATTTGCATAGTAGATTCAATAGTACATTGATAGGCTGATAGCACCAAGTAACTATAAACATGTGACACAATTATTTAACCTTAAACACACTTCTTTTATTCATGTCTATCTTGACTTTTTGAAGAAGTAATCTCTATTATACACGTTTGTGTATTATGTATCTTATAGAGGTTGGGAGGCAAAAAATCCCAGAACTATTTCTTTAAAAAAAAAAAACAACACCAACTTTTTTCTTTCTACTGTAGTATATTTATGCTAAGCTGCTGGCGTGTTTGGATTTTTTTTATCCTCTTGATAGGAACTAATTCTGAAGCATCAAATGCTTCTGAAACAGAATCTGATCACAGAGATGAACTTAGCGATTGGTCAGCAGCCCCAGCGGAAGAGGAGCGAGACAACTACCTTCGTAGAGGAGATGGGCGAAGACGTGGAGGTGGTGGAAGAGGACAAGGAGGGAGGGGTCGCGGAGGATTCAAAGGTAAACGTAGACTTAATTTTGAAAAAGAGATCAGTGTTGGAATCCTTAAGCAAACTCACTTCTGTCAGCCTCTTGTTTTGTCATCTGCTCCAGCCTCCAAGCTATCCTGGTGACCCTCTCCTGAGTTCTCTCCACTTTGTCAATCTCTTAAATTTAATATTTTATTTCGGATGTTTTGAATTTGAGCAGAGGGGGAATAATCCTTTCTTTTGACCTGCTTGCCACCCTCCTACTTACACAACCCGTTATTCAGTCAGCCGTCATTGTTGCAAGAACGCACTCTCATCTTAGGAGCTGTCCTGGTGGACACCTTGAATTTTGTGCAGAGCTGCCGCATACACAGTCAGTCCACAGCGTGTGCTATTGCATGGGGCTATCCTGTTGAAGCTGTGGGACTTGGGATTCACCTTTAAAGCTAGTGAGTTTTCTGTCAGCCTGCTCCTTCAGCTTTTTGAGGCCCTTGTGATTAGCACCTCTGACCTCCAGTGTATCAAACCACTTCCTGCAGTTTGATGTTATCTGCAGAATTGCTGGGGAGGCATTCCATCCCAGTGTCTGTTCACACGTTTTATAAAACCACTCTTCCCTATGTAAATAGCATTCCCAGTCATTTGCTTTCCTAATACGCATGTTGACTCAAGCTTGTGGGCTGTGCCATCACATGTGGAGGTCAAGGAATCGATTTCTAGTTTGTCAATAGATATAGAAAAATCTTTTATCTGTCTTACTCATTCAACTATCCAAATTCCCATCTTCTTGTATTTGATTTTCATGCAACAGGATTATATGAGGCTGTAATTTATATGTTCAGTGGAAAGGACCAGGCAAAAGTAAGATGGGAGAACTTAAGTTAAATACAAATATTTTATAATGTGATATTTCATTATATTTGTTTGTTTTAATATTTTTGTTTACAATTTCTTATTTCTTGAAATGTTTTCTAAAAGTGTGGGTATTAATTTAAGAATTTTTTTAAAAAAAGGTAATGCAGAATCTAGAAAGTTATTAAGCCATAAAAAGCAAACATGTTAAAGTTGACGGTATGCTTCTCTCCTATTGTTAATCGTTTTGAGAGGTGTTTTTTTCTTCAGTCAGTAGACAGTTTCTTTTAAACTGTGGTGGTTTTAAACACTGTGGTTTTGTCTACTTTTATTAATGCCTGAGAAAATTTTCTTTAGTGATTCTTGGCCCATAGTTTAAGAACTGTTATATGTTACTAAGAATATTTTTGTTTAATGTTCTTTAGCATGAAAATTTTGAAGTAATTTCCTCTTATGCTTGCATAAATTTTAAGTAAAAGATGATCAAATGTCCTTGTTGAACGGCTCAGTTGATTAATTCTTCTTATAGGAAACGATGAACAGTCACGAACAGATAACCGTCAGCGTAACTCAAGAGAGGCAAAAGGGAGAACAGCAGATGGATCTCTTGAGGTAAGTTTTCTCTTCTAGGAACTCTGCACTGTTTAAAATTGCACAAGTGGCACATATATGGACATTAGAGTCCTCAAAGCTGCAAGCAACACAGTAGCCTGTGGTTCTTTATTCCCTAGTTCCCTAATCAGATCTACAAGAGTTTTGTGTCATTTTCTAATGTATACGCAGGAATCTCAATATATCAAGTTGTGTAAAGATGCAACTTGGTAATGTTACCTTAGCACTCCCTTTGGTTAGAACTCTGATCACCAGTCCCAAGGATTTACTAACCAGCTTGATGTCAGTCTTTGTTCTTACTAGCTTTTTGTTTTTAGCTTTTCTTTCTTGCTGCTTTGTGTATTGTTCTCTGTTGCTTATATACCTGAGGGAGGACCCTTAACACTTTATATAGAGAGTTGTAGCCAGAATCTTCAGAGTAAGAAAGATTAAACTTCAGAAACTACCTTCACTACTAAATGAAACATTTGCAATTGAAGGCTGTGCAATCTAGAAAGTAAGTTTAAAATGCACGTCAAGAAACTGTTCAAGTCATATATTGAAATATTTTATAACCTTAAATATTTTATAGCCTTTTGTAGAAATATCTTTATAATTTCTTCAGATACCTTTTGTTGCATAAAGTTCTTCAGGCTGATATTTTATGTATGTATGTTAGATTTTTCCCACATGGAAACTGTTTTTGCTTCAAATGATAACAGGCAAACTTTCTACCATCTCTTACCGCATAGGATGAGTGATGTTGGGAGGAGGAAATAATGAGCAGCTGCAAGCTGCTGCCACCTTCTGTGTGGTGTTACCAGGAGTTGTGGTTTCAATGGGAGATTGAGATGATTCCTGGCTTGGTTTTAGAAAGCCTATTTAAGAAAGGAATGGGGAAAAAATGGAAAACTAAGCATTTGGTCATTTATTCCAAAAGGGAGTGCTGAACTTGGAGGTGTAGTACCTGAATACGCGTCTGAAATGCAAACAATTAACATGCCAAAAGAAAAATTTTTCGACCACACAACTTTTATAGTTAAGCAGTAATTAACTTATAAAGTTTGAAGTAAACAGTGGAGAATTGTGGTGCTGAAAAAGGAACTAAGACGCTTATCAACAAGTTATGATTCTTTTTTCTGTTGCTCTGAAATTTGAATGAGATTAGATTCTGTAGGAAAATAAGTACTTGCATATCATTGAAACTTGACTGATCAAGTTGTAAAAGTTTTGTAATATTCCAAGAAATAAAGGCTTACCTCCTTTACAAGCATAAAAACTTTGCTTTCAAAATGCTTTTTGAAATTTTTTATGACCCTTTAAAAGGGCCACAGAAGTCTTTTTGGTAGATTAAATGAACCTTTTTTCAGATTCAAAAGCTGGCTGAGTAGATTTTTTTTTTTCTGAGTATTAATATCATTTCATGGCAGCTTTTCTATGTTGTTGGTTTTTTTTTTCAAAAAAAATACTTGAATACAAGTAGTCAAATTATTGAAAGTGAAATGGTGTTTGAGTTCTATCTACTATAAGTTATTCAGCTTTCTCTTACATAGGCACACTGGGAAAACATTTTTTTAGCTTTCAAGGCTAAGTAGATGGGAGGCTTCTTGGTTTTTTTTTTTAGGTCACGAGTATGTGGCATTTTTGAACAGAAAAGGAATTCACGCGCACTCAGTTTCGGCTGAATACAGTGAACAAAGCCATAAGGATGTGGTACTGTTTGTGTCTTCTCATCATTTAATAAAGAGTCCTCCTCCCAGACCGCTAAGGTAGCAAGTGCGTAAGGGGTGGATGAAAGGAAGGGAATGCTTTATATAACTCTGACTTGTTCCAGATCAGAATTGACTGCAATAATGAAAGGAGTGTCCACACTAAAACATTACAGAATACCTCCAGTGAAGGGAGTCGGCTGCGCACGGGTAAAGAACGTAATCAGAAGAAAGAGAAGGCGGACAGCGCAGATGGCCAACAGCCGCTGGTGAATGGAGTACCCTAAACTGCATAATTCTGAAGTTCACATTTCCTATACTGTTTCAGTAATTCCTATTCCATGTTAGAGAAACTTGTTAGGCCAAAGACAAATAGTAGGCAAGATGGCGCAGGGCATGAAATGAACATATGTTCTCTGTTAGCCTTTTTTAACATCAACAGTATGCAGTTGTTTTCAGAATAAGAAGTTATTCAAATATTTGCATAAAAATATCTGAATTTCCGAAAATCGCTTTCAAGTACATATTGCAGTTCAAACAATGAAAGATTCTTTTTTTGTTTGTTTTAAAAATACTGAGCTGTGCATTGGTAAACTTTCTGTTCAGTTGTACCATTTTAACACATCGGGTCAAATTCACTGCTCAATTTCAATTTTCAGAATAAATAGTGTTTGCAGTAATCAAATTGGCTTCTGTTTTCAATCTAACTTACAAGTTCTTCATGAAATGCTATGTCGTTTTATGTCCTGTGTCAGTTCACATTCTGGTCCACCTTTTTCAATATTTTAGTGGACTCCGAAATATGTGTGATGTAACAATTGTCATTTTCATTAGCAAAAAAGTTGTATGATCTGTGCCTTTTTTATATCTTGGCAGGTAGGAATATTCTATTTGGATGCAGAAATCAGGGAAGATGAGTTGGTAACACTAAATGTAAAATATATGTAGCAATCCTTGTCAGACGTTAGTACTTTATAGACAAGTGCATGCTTTCCATAATTTTTTCCTTACATAAACATTGAGTTAGGCAGTTATAAGAATAGGAAATTTATTTTGCACTGAAGATTTGGCAAATAGTGTTATTGAAAAAGGGGTGTAATTTTTTTCTTTGTAGGCAGTACAGAAGCTTTTTTTTTAAAAAAAAAAATTAAAAAAAAAATCTTTCCATTGTGGAAAACTAAAAAACTCATTGTTACTGAGGGAACAAGTGTAACGTGTTCACAAGCTAGTAATGTGTGCCTGCTGTTTGGCCAGATGACCAGTTTAAAGCGCTGATGTCTTTCATCCTCCCAAAATTTTTTTGAATTGCATCTTTTAATTTGAGGACTATCTCAGGAGAGGTAGGAAGAAAATCACCATGTGTAATGCCCTGGAAAGTACAGCTATAGTTGTCGGAGATATTTGAGGTAGAACAAAAATTCATCATCTTCTGAGGTACAAGGTCTGAATTACCAGCCAATTTGAAGATGTCACAGAACTTGATCCAAAGTACAGTTGTACACCAGGGAAGGGTGGGAAGTAATGAGAGGAGCTGTGCTTTCTTTTATTTCTGATCACACGCTAAACTTACTGGGCAAAACTGTATAAGGACCTTCATTTTAATCCATTTTTATTCAGATTACTCCAGAAGGAGCGCCACTGTTTATGTACAGAACTGTACAAACTTGACCTTGCCTCTGATGTATTTTGTGAGTTTTGTTTCTTTGCTTTTTTCATTCCTTTTTTTTCTTGCATACAGGTGAGCATACTAAAAATGGCAACGAACTGCACATGATTTAACAAATATAAAAATGTCTTAAAAAGTATTGCCAAACATTAATGTTGATTTCTAGTTATTTATTTTGGGAATGTATAGTATTTGAAAACAGAAATTGGTACCTTGCACACATCATCTGTAAGCTGTTTGGTTTAAAATACTGTAGATAATTAACCAAGGTAGACTGACCTTGTAATGTAACTGCTCTTGGGCAATATTCTCTGTACATATTAGCTACAACAGATTGGATTTTATGTTGACATTTGTTTGGTTATAGTGCAATATATTTTGTATGCAAGCAGTTTCAATAAAGTTTGATCTTCCTCTGCTAACTGATGTTGATGCAATCCTTATAAATGATTGCTTTTAAAAATCTCAACTTAAAAAAGTAGAAGATGTTTCTTTGATTAGACTTTAACTATAGCCATTGTTTATTTACACGTTTTAGAAGACCTCTGGAATATTACCAGTTTTCAAAAATATGGCACATAATGCTTAAGAAAAGGCAACCTAATGGAATGGTACAGTACCTGTTGAGCTGTCACACTAACATGCACTGTACTTCTCACATTTAGTGGTTGAGTTCACTAAGGTGCTAACTAGGTTAAATGTGAAATTACTAAACTACATTCTAACTAATTAGCTGCATTCCATGTTCAAATGCATTTTGGGGTTATGACCTTTTTCAGTATTTGTGTGCTTAACATGTATCCCTTTCGATTCAAACTCCAGTGTTTTTAAATGTTATTAAATTTCAAAAAATTAAACTGTGAATCTAAATGTACAATTTCATTTTGGAAAGTCATGTTGTTACGAAACTTAAGTGCAACAAATGTCTGATGCTTGAGTTCAGGTCCGTCCTATTGGTAACTTATAAAGTATGGTCTAATGAATTAAAATTATTTTTAAAATAAAGTTCTTTAAAAAGAGTGAGAGGTATTTGTGAATGATGCCAAAGTCTAAATTCAGTAGGGTTAAACTCAGAGCTTATGGATTAACAAATGCTTACAAAAATAGAAAGCTTCTGCCTTTCTTTACTAAATTAATTTTTGGTAACGATGGTGGGAAGTTAAGGTTGTCAGAGTTGTTATAAAACCTTATCAATGAAAAAAAAATCTTTTTATACAGCTTTTTTGAAACATAGAAAAGTCTTCTTTATGGGCATTCATGAGTTCAAGAAGCAAATAACTTTAGTTTCTTGAATACAAAAATTACTTAAATTACTTATAGGTGAACTTTTTCAGCCCTTTATGTCTCTAATGCCAAATATTGTGTACCATGCTTGCTTTCAACAAGCTTAAACTAAGTACTGTGAGTATGAGAGTGAGTGTAGACTTTGCATTCTTCATAGGAGCACTTATTGTGAAAAATAATTTATTTTCCTGAGCTGCAGTGTGTTTCTCTGCAAAATCCTTCAGTATTGAATGTTGGAATAGATTATTAGCTTCCAGTGAGTATTCCTCAGTCACTTCAGCAACCCTGCTGAATGGTTCTGGTAAGTGGCATTCTGTATTAATCTGCATGAGGAAAGGTGGGTCTCCAATTTTTTTAGCCTGTCTATTGTTAAAGGTTTTTGTCTTTTCCAAGAAAGACTTGTAGTGGAATAGCTGTATTCAGGGGTGAAGGGAGATGTTGATACTGGTTCTGGTGGCAACTTTAAAGAATTTTTTAAAAAGTGACAAAGCTTAGCTTAATGTAGTTTCTGCAGTAGTGTGTAATAATTTTGTTCATCTTCTACATGAACTTAACAGTACTTAGGCTTTCATCATAACAGACACTAGTCAGAGTCTTTTCCAGCCACATTCACATTCATGAAAATCAGGGTAACTAGAATAACTTTGAATACCTTAACAACGTAAGACAGCTTTATATACGTAATGAAAAGTGAGGTTAGTCCTTCTGAGTCAAGTGTTCTGAAACGAACTCGTTTGATCTGCCAGGTTCTCCTTGCCCGTGTTTCACTAGACTTGAGTGCAGTGTAGCTTTTACATCATGTTTTTATGCTGTTTTCACCATTTGAAAGGGTTAGATTTACCTCAACAGCTCTTTATTCTTCAGCAGTATGAGTCTTTCACAGCAGCCTGTGGATTTTTAGCCTACATCAGGGGATGAATCTTTTTTCCTACTCCCAACAATTTTTTTTAGAAATGTCCCACATCTGTCACTCCTGCTTTCATGGTTATGAAGATCATGCATCTTGAGCAACTCATGATGGAGATAAATAATTGCTACTAAGCCATGAATATGAATTAGCTGCCACTATTACTTTTTTAGGTTGTTTAAAAATTTATTTATAATAGGCCTCAAAGTAGTAATTTTTGTGTGCTTTGAGTATGCTGTATAGAAGTGGATAATAAAAAAAAATCAACAATCGTAAAATATTGTTTTGTGTGTTTCTGCTGAAGGTTCAATAGGACAATATTTTTTCTCACATTTTTGCACTGAATATAAGAAACTGATTTCCAATAAAAGCAGTTAATTTAAAGAAAATAAATAATCCCATGAATGTGGTCTATATAAATGACTAGGAACTCAACTGTTGCAGAAATGGTATAACAAAGAATTGTGTGGGGTGATTTGGATAATTGGATGTGCTTTTTTGGCTAGTGGACTCTGGCTGAGCCTTAGGTATAGACTACAGTTACAGGAAGAAGAGTCAATAGTCCTAAATTTAATAAAAAAATCAAAGTGGTCAACGTAAAATGTGGGGGCAATTTTCTTGAATTCTCAGCAGTCTGAAAAGTCCCATATTTATGCATCAGGAGTGCATCACACTGTATGCAGTGTTCCATGAGAGTAATCAACGTGGAAAATCTGAATTGCGTGTGAAATCATATGCTTCAGAAAATGAACGTTTGTTCTGTATTACATGTTTCTAAGTATCTCCTCATTGGTGCTATTGGGAGTGGCTGTGTCTAGTCCATATAGAAATTATGAAATTGAGGTTATTGTATATTGTTGCTTATATTAGGAAACTCGTGCTGCATATGAATTAGGTTAAAAAGAGTCACCCTTTACAGTCATTACTCAACTGAAATGAAAAAAAAAAAACAACCAAGCAACAAGCCCCACAATATTTGCATGTGAATATGTAACTTCTTTCAAGATCACTGTTCAGATGGCTGTTGTAACATACTTTTTTTTTTTTTCTAAAACAACAAACTGCTTTAGGCAGCTCAGCTGTTTGGAGAACTGCTGAATTTTGGGGCATCTGCATTTAATTTAAGTTTCTATATTTTTTTAAAGCACTGTTCCTAGTCTATTCAAGGAGCCCTTCCTTAATAAAAGAAACAGAAACATCTAAGATGTGTCTGACTGTGCTTTTGCTTCAAGTGCGCAGATATTTAGTGAACCTACAGGGCGATCCCATTACCCAATTAATTCATGTTTAATGGATTATTGGGAATCTTAAGCACTCTGCCCAAAATTTATCTGTTTTGAGGAGTGTGTTTTGATGTCCTGGGGTATCTACTACCTGGTCTGCACAATTAGGTCGTGTTTGTGTTGCACACTGAACTGTGATGGGTAATAAGCTTGGTTTTAACTTAATGAATTAGAAGACTGAGAGGCTTTGTAACAGTGGGGGGGGCTGATTTTTTTTCCAATTGCAGCTTTTTTCTGGCCCCTCTGATGTATTTATCATGTCAGTACTCTTCAGTCTAAGCAGTATCATAGTAACAGGGAGCCCATTGTGATGAGCTTTGATTCCATGTCGTCGTAGTTGCTGTACTCTGGATAACTGTGATATTCCTG